CCTTGTAGGGGCTGCTGCTGAGAATAAACTGAGAAAATCCTCAGAAAGCATTTAGAGCAGTTTCTAGAACATAACAATAATAAATGTTAGCTCTTATTGTTATAAATGAGATACACAGATAAAATTGGAATGGACATTTTAGTAAGCATGTGTATTATGGTACTCACTTCCCAGATTTTGGCTCTATTCTGCTTTGGGAGGCTGAAGTTCGAATGAGTAGTTTGGACTGTTTTTCAAACACTGTTTAAAATGGTGCTATTCTGACTGGAGGGTATTCAGCTACTATATGTTCTGAAAAATGTGCCAGCCAAGGCGTTGCAACACCCAACCAATACATCTTGTACTCATCAATCATTAGGGGAGACTGCAGGAAGAGATTTGTAACTAACACGGTTGCCTTTAGATTTTCATCTTCACAATACACCTTTCCTGTTGATACTATCATTCTTCTTCCCATAAAAATGATCATATCTCTGTCCTCCAGACTAGCTAATTTTGCTTACAGAAGAAAAAAATTAACCCCTGTTTCTGAAAGAACTAAAAACAGAATTACCACTCAATCCATCAGTTCCATTACTGGGTGTATATACAAAGGAAAATAAATTGTTCTACCAAAAAGACACATGCGGCTGGGCGCGGTGGCTCATGCCTGTAATCCCAGCGCTTTGGGAAGCTGAGGTGGGAGGATCATGAAGTCAGGAGTTTGAGACCAGCCTGGCCAATATGGGGAAACCCCATCTCTACTAAAAATACAAACATTAGGCTGGGTGCGGTGGCTCATGCATGTAATCCCAGAACTTTGGGAGGCCAAGGTAGGCAGATCACGAGCTCAGGAGATCGAGACCATCCTGGCTAACACGGTAAAACCCTGCCTCTACTAAAAATACAAAAATTAGCTGGGTGTGGTGGCATACACCTGTAGTTACTTGGGAGGCTAAAGCAGGAGAATTGCCTGAATCCAGAAGGCAGAGGTTGTAGTGAGCCAAGATCGTGCCACTGCACTGAAGCCTGAGCAATGGAGCAAGACTCCATCTCAAAAAAAAAAAGGCATATGCACTCACATGTTCATCACAGCACTGTTCACAATAACAAAGACATGGCTAAGTGCCCATCAACGGTGGACTGGGCAAGGAAAATGTGGTACACATGCACCATGGAGTACTACACAGACATGAAAAAGAACGAAATAATGTCCTTTGCAGAAATATGGATGCAGCTGGAGGCCATTATTCTAAGCAAATTAATATAGAAACAGAAAACGAAATATCGCATGTTCTCACTTAAAAATGGGAGCTAGACACAAAGATAGAAATAATAAACACTGGGGATTTCAAAAGCAGGGAGAGACAGAGCAGGGGAAAGGGCTGAACATCCACTTATTGGGTACTAAGTTCACTACTTGAGTGAAGGGAATATTAGAAGCCCAAACTTCGGCATCATGCAATGTACCCATGTGACAAACCTGTATGTGTTCTTCCTGGATCTAAAATTTTTTTAAAAAATTAACTTCTTAATGCGATCCTCAGTATCCCTACAATCTGGCTTCAGCCTATGTTTCCAATTTCTGTTTCATTATTTTTATATAACAAACTCCATATTCTTATCAGACTTGATTATTCACCTAAGTCACCATGCATTTTCATTTGTTCACTCATTCATTTTATTCAAATACTTTACTTACTATATGCTGAAAACTTTGCTAAGAGTTAGGCATTAAAGATATTTTTAAAATACATAGGCTTAGCTTTTATGGCACTCATAATCTATTAATAGTAGAAGAGATATGTAAACAACTATCATAAAACAGCAATGTGACAAGATCAGCAACAGTTGGGACTTGCCTATGAATTCCCATTTGAACCCTCAGGAACAAGCACTAGCTTTTGCTGGGGAAGTTGGAAAATGTTTCATAGATAACATGAACTTTATCTCTGGTGTTAAATGATGAGGAGATTAAGTATTCAATAGGCAGATAATAGAAAATGTTTACAAGGCAAATAAAATTAAATAAAGTCTTGATATAAAAGTACTATGACATCTAAGGAAAAGCAAGTACTTTGGTGGGTATGAAGTATATTTGTGGGAAAAAAGGTGGTAATGAAGGTTGTGGATAGACTGAAAAAGGTTGTGTATGCTGTCATTGACCAAGGTGTCTCCCATTTTTGTTTTGCTCACCCAGCAAGTTCTTCCACTTTTCTTATAGTAACACATTTTGCTGTCCTTGCTATCAAAGCAGGTATCTGATCCAGGCTTGGCCAATCCAGGCCAACAGTGGCTCAAAATATGTGCACCTTTCTGAAGCAAGGCCAGGACAAAAACTTCCCCTGTGATTGGCAAGATCATTTGAAGAAAGATGTGCACTTTTTGTGTGTGTGTGGCAAAGCAAGGGGCTGCCTATAATTATCTGCTCAGTAGAGAAGGCTTGTTTGCATTTGCAGAAAATGAGCCCACTTTAATTGCAGGAGGCACTTAAAAAAAAAAAAAAGAAAAAAGAAAAAAATGAGCCCACTATGAAAAAAGAGGAAGAAGACATGAGATACAAACAGAAAAAGAGTAAGTCCCAGGAATGTTGAATTCTGTCCCAAAACGGGGATATGGCCATGGTTCCTGGTATACTTCCTTCACTTCCTCAAGTGACCCGCAGTATCTCAGCCACATGAGCCAATAAACTCCTACTTGTTTCAGCAAGTTTAAGCTCGGTTTCTCCCATTTTCAAAGGAAAGAGTCCTGATATATCTGCCATACTGATACATCTGCCATATTAAGAACTCTGTGGTTTTTTCTTTTTTTTTTTTGAGACAGTCTTGCTCCGTTGCCTGGCTGGAGTGCAGTGGCGCGATCTCTGCTCACTGCAATCTCTGCCTCCTGGGTTGAAGCAATTCTCCTACCTCAGCCTCCCAAATAGCTGGGACTACAGGTGTGTGCCACCACGCCTGGCCAATTTTTTGTATTTTAGTAGAGATGGGGTTTTACCATGTTAGCCAGGATGATCTCAATCTCTTGAACTTGTGATCTACCCGCCTTGGCCTCCCAAAGTGTTGGGACTATAGGCACACACCACTGCACCCAGCTAATTTTTGTATTTTTAGTAGAGATGGGGTTTCACCATGGTGGCCAGGATGGTCTCAGTCTCTTGACCTCATGATCCACTCACCTCGGCCTCCCAAAGTGCTGGGATTACACGTGCGAGCCACCATGCCCAGCCAAGAACTGTTTTATGTGGTAAGGCAATGGGAGCCAGAGAGGAATTTTAAGAAGTGAAATGTGTTTAAGCAGGTGAGTGATGGATCAAAAGTGTGCTAGAAAAGCAGATTTAATGGACAGTACAGAAGATGGATTCAAGGAAGGCCATTTAGGCAGTTCTTATGCCTTTCAAGAATGTGGTTCTTTATCTTTAGGGAATTTCTGACTACCGAAATAGTCCAGCTCACTTGACCCCTCTTCTCTAATGCCTTTCTGATCTCATCAGATGGCATGAACGGTCCTTCATTCTGCATTCCCGCAGCGCTTCACTTGCACCTTTCACATCCTAGTTCTCAAACTTCAGTGTCTGTCAGAATCACCCAGAGGCTTGATAAAATCAGATTGCTGGGCCCTACTTCGAGAGTTTCTGATTCAGGAGGTCTGGGGTGGGACCTGAGAATTCTAACAACTTCTAGGTGATGCTGGACCTATGGCCAGCTTTGAGAACTGCTGTTCTAACACATTTCACTGTAGCTGTCTTCTAGTTCACTTGCTTATTCATGTCCCCTGCTCCACTGAACATTCCTTATGGATATTCTTGTTTTGTATTTTTTGAGATAGCGTCTTGCTCAGTCACTCAGGCTGGAGTGCAGTGGCGCAATCATGGCTCACTGCAGCCTCAATCTCCTGGGTTCAAGGGATTCTCTGTCCCAGCCTTCCGAGTAGATGGGACTACATGTATACCCCACCAAGCCCAGCTAGTTTTTCCATTTTTGTTTGGAAACAGAGTCTTGCTATGTTGTCCAGGCTGGTCTCAAACTCCTGACCTCAAGTGATCCTTCTGCCTTAGCCTCCCAAAGTGCTGGAATTACAAGTGTGAGCCACCACACCCAGCCAAGGGTTTTCTTATTCATCTTTGTATAGCCTTCGGTAGCTAACATAATGCTTTACACAAAATTGGTATTTGATACGTATTACTGTGTGATTAACTATGGAGATAAAATAAACATCTTACCATAATAAATTCTCTCAGCATCCAAATAGAATCTCTCAAAAATTAAACTGTGTAGGCTGGGCACGGTGGCTCATAACTATAATCCCAGCACTTTGAGAGGCTGAGGCAGGTGGATCACAAGATCAGGAGATGAGACCATCCTGGCTAACACAGTGAAACTCCCTCTCTTTACTAAGAGAACAAAAAATTAGCTGGGCGTGGTGGCACATGCCTATAGTCCCAGCTACTCGGGAGGCTGACGCAGGAGAATTGCTTGAACCCAGGAGGCAGAGGTTGCAGTGAGATGAGATCACACCACTGCACTCCAGCCTGGGCGACTGTGCAAGACTCCTTCTCAAAAATAAAAAAATTAAAAAATAAATAAATAAGGGCCAGGAGTGGTGGCTCATGCCTGTAATCCCAGCACTTTGGGAGGCCAAGGTGGGTGGATCACGAGGTCAGGAGTTCAAGACCAGCCTGGCCAACATGGTGAAACCCCATCTCTAGTAAAAAAAGAAAACATACAACAGAAAAAAATTAGCTGGGCTTGGTGGCAGGTGCCTGTAATCCCAGCTACTTGCGAGGCTGAGGAAAGGAGAATTGCTTGAATCGGGGAGGCGGAGGTTGCAGTGAGCTGAGATCGTGCCACTGCACTCCAGAGTAGCAACAGTGCAAGACTCTGTTTCAAAAATTAATAAAATAATAAACAAACAAACTGTGTAACTAGAGAAACAACCCAAGATAGAATATAGCCTGATTTCCTTGGGGCTACCTAATTTTTGATTACATCTTCTATCAGGGCAGGGTAGAGAGGTAGCATTACCTTAGGCATCCAGTGACGTTGTAGAATATGTCAAAATCGAGCAAACCATTGGCTTTTGGGTAGTCTCCTTCAGGCCACCCAGAAAAGGGGATGATGATATTCTCCGTTAGCGTAAGCAATGCTTCTGTTATCATGAGATTCTTGAGTTTGTCATTAGATGACAAATTCCACAGCAAACCTAGAAAAGCACAGAGTTACCATGAAAACAGTGGAGGGTGGGACCAAAATAACTGCTGATAATTTCAGTTATGGCCATCAACTCCAGGGCTATCACCAGTCCCAAAAAAATTTGGGGAGGGGGATTTGGGGACAACCCCTTTCTCAACTGGAAGAACCCTGTTAGAACTCATTAGATAGTGATGGAGGCTGACCCGAATGAACAATAAAAAAATGGCTCAGGGTACAAACTGTGCATGTTTAAATTAATCAGGTATATAAATGAAAGCCAGACATAAGCATTTATTGCTGTTTCTCTTAAAGGGCCCTACCACAAAGCTGACCCGACTGGGATAATGAAGTCTGGGATCACCAATGGGGAAGATTGAAATGGTCCTATTGTAACTAAAACTTAACATTTTTAAAGAGTCATATTTTTTCTCCCTCAGATACACATGTGAAAATATCTCCCCTGCCTCCTTTCCTACTAGCTGTAACTTTCACGTGATGTTGTGCCTCCCAGTAAGAGCAGGGAGGGCCTGCAGAAAGCCTTTCTCCACACCTGTCAACAGGAAGCTGATCAACATCACCAATTAATGTTACTGACTGCTACCCAATGACAGAATCATGTCCTCCAGCAATTTACTCTGGTTAACTCATGTATTCTTACTTTAATAGGCTGGCAGTGAAGGACAGACAAGACCATCTTACCTATCTGCCAACTTGTATGGCTTAAGTACTGCTCGAAGATTAGTACCCTATTTACTCATTATATTTTCTTTATCCTCTTGAATGTCCCATATTAAAGAGAAAGACCACGTAGGCCAATCCAGAGGAAACTGAGATAAGAGCATAGTGTACTTTCCAAGGCACATACTGTGACATAAAGACTGAGGCTGGGTACTGAGAGAGAATAAAAGTGGCATATACATTTAGGATTTATTTTTCTTTGAAATTTGGAGCTCAAATCCTTCTGATTCAGTGGAAGGAAGATTGTACACCAATTGCTTGATATTCCAGGGACTCCCAGCAGGTGTAATGTTACATTGCCATTTTGCGTTTTTTTTTGGAAACTGAGTCTCGCTCTATTGCCCAGGCTGGAGTGCACTGTGGTGATCTCAGCTCACTGCAACCTCCACCTCCCGGGTTCAAGCAATTCTCCTGCCTCAGCCTCCCAAAAAGCTGGGATTACAGGCATCTGCCAGCATGCCCAACTAATTTTTTTACTTCTAGTAGAGACGGGTTTCAACATGTTGGCCAGGCTGGTCTCAAACTCCTGACCTCAAAAGATCTGCCCACCTTGGCCTCCCAAAGTGCTGGGATTACAGGCGTGAGCCACTGCCTGGTCTACCTCATCATCTTTCATACCGCAATAGGTTACCCTACCTCACTAATGCCCAGGAAAAGGAGAAGAAGAGGGCAAAAAGAGAAGGGATGACTTTTTCCTTTCTACCTTATCCTCTTTACACCCAGTCAACAATTCCTACTTATCTTTTTTTCTCCTGAGAAGGAGTCTTGCTCTGTCAGCCACGCTGGAGTGCAGTGGTGTGGTCTCAGATCACTGCAGCCTCCGCTTCTCAGGTTCAAGCAATTCTCCTGCCTCAGCCTCCTGAGTTGCTGGGATTACAGGCGCATCACCAGGCCTGGCTAATTTTTGTATTCTTACTAGAGATGGGGTTTCACCGGTTTGCCAGGCTGGTCTCAAACTCTTCACCTGGTGATCCACCCGCCTCGGCCTCCCAAAGTGCTTGGATTACAGGTGTGAGCCACTGCGCCCAGCCCAGCAATTCCTACTTCTTAAATTGACTGTGTGGTCTGTGCAAAGGGAAGAGGAAGCATGGGTACTCAGGGCACGCTCCTTTATGAACACAGCAAACGTGGCGGACTTGGCTGAACTATGGCGCGATCATCACCTCTGAAATACCAGCCTGTATACTTAAAGCTTGGTAATTACTCAGCATACTTATATTTGGTCCAACCAATTAGAACACATTAGGCTTCATACAGTCTTTTGGGCTTAAACAGTCTGCTTCTGCTGTGCACAGGTAGCCGCTTTTTGAAACAGTAACCAGATTTCCACTGGAGCCTACACATAGCTTCCGTTAGATACAGTGACACCAGGTCTGGTGTCTTGTAAGAACTCGATTTCTGGCTTATGAGGAGGTCTTCTCCTGATCAAACTAGCATTTGGGGTTAGTCAGGAGGTGTGTCCCTCATTATGTTTTGTAACATAATGACTTCATTCCTCCCACTTCTCCTCAAGAGGCCCTGGAAGAGGGACAGATAAAATAAAACTCAGAAGGTGGCTGAAGACAATTTAAAGGCAAGTCTGAGGTTGGATTTTGGTTACTAAGCTACAGAAGCAAGTTAGAAAGGAGAGAGAAATGAAGGGGAAAAAAAAAAGATTCTTTAGTTCTAAATAAGCAAACAAATTAATAGTCTCTGCCTGCCAGAAGCTTAAGAACGTGCGGCATAATGACATTTCCTCCTTTTAAAAAGGACCACACAGGGCACTCAAAGCAAAAGTACATCTTACAATAAAAACCGGAGAGGATTAATTGGAACAAAGGGAGTGGAATTTTCCTGCAACAGTCAATATCCTTTAGAGCTTGGCATGCTCCATTATTTCTACAAAAGTCTATGATTTTGGAAGTTTCAGTATAATTTTAGAATTTCTAATATAGGATTTTGCACAGAAATGTCATGCCTGTCAAATTTCTGGGTGGCATGAAAGCTGCGAAAGAACTAAGATGTTTGATAGAGATTCAGGATTACATATGCTTATACACACATACCCTCACAAAAAAATCAGTGAGTTACCAACTACTAACTGGGAAAATATGTGCAATATGAGATACAGGGTTAATATTCTTAATATACAGACTTCTTATAAATCACCAAAACATGAAACACCAGTAGAAAAATTGGGAAAGTACATAACACAGAACCAACAGATATTATTAGGAACTAATGTATACAGGAATCCATGGTCTCTAGCAACTAAAGAAACGCAAACTTAAACAGCTAGATATCATTTTCTATGACTAGAGGAAGCAAAACCAGAACCAATGAGTGGAAATTCTAAGAAAGGAGATTTTGGCTCAATGAAAGTGTAAACTTCTAAGAGGGCTTTGAAGAAAACAGAAGGACCTATTTGAAAGATCCAGCTCTGGCACTGGAGGGAATAAAAATTAGCTTATCCCTTATCAGAAAGTAGACAAGGGCTTTTACCCTGAAATTAAAATGTTAGACTAGATGAGCAGTTTCCAAATGACAAAACAGACTCACAGTCTTGGGCCATGCCCCAAATTTGCTGAGCCATAATCTCAGGATGGAGTTCAGGAACTTTTATTTTATTTTATTTTTTGAGATGGAGTCTTGCTCTGTCGCCAGGCTGGAGTGCAGTGGCATGATCTCGGCTCACCGCAGCCTCCACCCCCTGGATTCAGGTGATTCTCCTGCCTCAGCCTCCCAAGTAGCTGGGACTACAGGGGGTGGAGGCTGCGGTGCCACCATGCCCAGCTAATTTTTGTATTTTTAGTAGAGACCGGGTTTCACATGTTGGCCAGGATGGTCTCGATCTCTTGAACTCATGATCCGCCTGCCTCGGCCTCCCAAAGTACTGGGATTACAGGTGTGAGCCACTGCGACCGGCCAGGAACTTATATTTTAAAAAAATGATTCCACTTTTGGGCATGAGGAAACCAATGGACTGGATGATTCTGAATAGATGTCCTTTCAATGATCAGATTCTGGATTATCTAATATAATATTTATGATTTGGGTTTTCATGTGTCTCATCTTTAACAACTTATTCATAATGTCTTAATGTCTACTAGTATAGTTCTTTGTTGCAGATGGTCTGTCTGCCTGTAATTTTCTACCATGAGGCTCTCATTCTAGCCAAAAACAAAGGGACTTGGACTCTGTTAAGGGATAATTTGAATAATTATCAATTAATTATAAGACACAATGATAACTCCATTATCCAGAAATTTATTCTCAACTGTGATGTTTGCAAAAAACAGCTAACCAGAAAAGGGATCTTAGCTATTACAACTTATGTTTAATAATAATGACCTTGGCTAGGCACAGTGGCTTACACCTGTAATCCCAGCACTTTGGGAGACTGAGGCAGGTGGATCATGAGGTTAGGAGTTCGGGACCAGCCTGGCCAATATGGTGAAACGCCATCTCTACTAAAAAAATAAAAAAAAAATTAGCTGAGCATGGTGGCGGGTGCCTGTAGTACCAGCTACTCAGAAGGCTGCCGCAGGGGAATTGCTTGAACATGGGAGGTGGAGGTTGCAGTGAGCCAAGATTGTACCACTGCACTCTGGCCTGGGTGAGAGTGTCTCAAAATAATAATAATAACCTCTAGAACAGAAAATACAGAAATTTAACAAATCTGCATTAACACTTAGGCAGCAAAACTTACAAATTTTATGATTAAATAAATCCCTATGTTCAGTGAAAAAGAATGAGAGGGAAAAGATGATGACAGTGACCACTCAGACAAGGACAAGAAAGAAAACTGGTTCTTTTTAGCTGTGTTTTTCAAAGCGGTCAGAGAGTGGGAGGATTTTTTTTTTTTTTTTTTTTTTTTTACAATTTCCCTTGCATAGATATACTCCTCCTTTCACCTAAATTTTGCAGATATTACCTGGAATATCAGATTATTGAAAAGGGCATGTATTCCAAGTTGTATATAAACCCAGGGTATCTTGTTACACATTATGAATGTAGAATAAAATAACATACAAATACCTAAAGAAAGTGCATAATACATATTTTATAACAAAACATTTTGAGTATTTTATTAAAATACAGCAATCCAATTAAGTACTTTTATAAAATATGCAAAGATTAATATGCAGTTTCAACACATTTCACTGACAATCACCCCTGACTCTTTCATATGTAACGAAAGAGGGATAAGGACCCCTGCTGTACTCTTACCATGACTTGTCTGTTTTAATCCGAGGTATATCCTGCTCACCCCAGCAAGTGCTCACTACTCAG